GGATTCACCAATGAGGATAGATCTTTCTCTCCTGAAGGAGAATCCCAGCAAGCACATCCCATCCATGCCTCGAAGATCTGGGGGTCAACTCCAGTGCTCCAATCTCTTTGACTATGTACCATTTTTATGAAAATTAAATTCAAGAAAAGTTCAGCTTCTCGGTAGTACTAGCCACCGTCTAAATGCTCAGGAAATGTAAGTGGCTAAAGAATACCATACTGGACAGTGCACAGTTTTCCTTACTGCAGACAACACTGGACAAAGCTCTTCCCATAGTCTGTTGTCACATATCCCCAGAGGTTTGCTGACTTCCTGAGATGCTTCAAGGAGGACCACAACCAACCTCTTTACCTTAATACCTGTGACTACTATATTCTGTCACCAACCAGAAACAATCTCTTGTTAATAAATCTCCTTCTTTCAATTTTTCTTTTCATTCACTTAAGACATTGAATCCCTCAAACTGATCCCACTGCCTCGAGTCAGCTTCAAGTCATAGTGACCCGTGTCAGTCCAGCTCCTTGAACATCGTCTTCTCTTTGCTGACCCTCTACCCTGCACGATGTCCTCCAGGCACAGGCCCCTCTAAGGACATTCTCAAAGTATGTGAGACAAAGTTTTACTGTCCTCACTTCTAAGGAGCATTCTGGCTACACTTTTCCAGGACACATCTGACTGTTTCTCTTGCAGTCCATGGTACATCCAATATTTTTTGCTTTACCACAACTGAAACACATCTGTTTGTCTTCAGTCTTTTGTATTCACTGTCTAGCTTTCACGTGCATATGAAGCAATTGATGCATACTGTGGCTTGGGTCAGGTGCACTTGAGTTTTCAAAGTGTGTATGTGAGAAAAATCTATTGTTGTTGTAATATACCATGGAGTTAGAATTGACTCATGACTGACCCTCCAGTGAGTTTTCAGAAGCAGTTCATCACACAGGAGAAGATTGTCCTTCTTTCTTCCAAAGAGTAGTTGGTGGATTTGAACTATATGCCTTTAGTTTGACAGCACAAGTTATTACTGAGAAATGAGATACTTTCCATTTCATTAAAGGAAATCAACAGCAGAATGTGGGCTAATATCCCTGGTCTGTCCTCCTCCCGTTGAACAGAAGGATGAAAGCTAAATTAAGTTTCTGTATTAAAATAGTCTAAGCATTCATAGTCTGACACCTTCAGATCCCACGACATACCATCATTGGCAGTTAAGAAATTAATGGAAAGTAATACAATTACAACATGAATATATTTCAAAATATAGGAAAATAGAACACTACAAAATTGACCTCTTTCAAAACAAACCACCTGAGATGATTAGACAAATCTGCTAGCAGGTTCTCAAATCTCCCATGAGTCACCTTCTTTAATCGTAAGAAAGGTTTCCCTCCTTGAGGCCTTTATTGGCAGGTTCCTCTACAGCATTCTCAGAAACATTTTCTATACAGCCTGTGCCTCTTTTTTAAAGCTTTAAAGTTTCTGAACAAACTCTTCCAGCCTGGAAATGTAATGTCTTTAGTACATACCGTCTTCATTGTTTTGTTCTGTTTTCTTTTTATCTTCTGGAGCTTCAGGAAACATCTGCCCACTGCATAAGCCATTTGTGGTGCAGAAGGTAATTTCTCTCATCTGCTGTTCAATCCATGCAGGCCTATGTCGGGGACGTCATAGGTTCTGTTCCCCACCATTGGCATCAATCGAGTGCCTCAAAGAAAGCAAGGTGCAGGCGCACAGGCAATTTGTGATGGGTCAGCGGCTTGGTTGTCATTGCACATAATAGCCGTGCTTAACGTAAAGCTGTGATCTGTGAAAATATTCCTTTATTTACCTGTTGGACTGCTAACACAAAGGTCAGCGTTTTTGACCCACCACAACCACTCTACAACAGAAAGATGGGCAGGGTCTTTTTTCAGTAGTTAGAGCCTCAGAAACCCAAGGGACAGTTAGAGTCGCCTCAGTAATGGTGGGTTTGTAGGTTGGATTGTCATGGTGTATTTGACATGCAGTTGTTGTAAGGGTCCATCAAGTTGCATAGCAACCCTGTGAGTGATGAATGGATCTGAACCCTGTGCTGCCCTCACCGTCCCTGATACACTGGAGCTCATGGCATCATCACTGTGTTTATCCGTTTGGCCGAGGGTCTTCCTTTCCGTCTCTGACCCTCCATCTTGCCAAGCATGATGTCCTTTTCAATAGTATTAAAATAAGTTTGAAATGCTTTGAGAGCAAACTTTGATACAGAAACACAAAGTGAGGAAATGCTGTTGGGAAAATGGCACCAATAGACTTATTCTTCATAGGCTTGCCTCAAACCTTCAGCTTCTAAAACTCAAACAAAAAGCAGTACTGTGTCTAAGGAGCAGGATAGTGTCAGTGTAAAGTCTATAAAGTACGCCTGATCCAAGCCATGGTATTTTCAGTTGTTTTCTGTGGATCTCAAAGTTGGCCAGTGAGTAAGGATTACCAAAGAAAGGTTGAGGCCTTTGAATTGTGGTGTTGATGAAGAGTACAGAATCTTCCACGGCCTGCCGGAAGAACAAACAAATCTATCTGGGAGGAAGTGCGACCGGATTGCTCCTTCATCACCGAGATGGTGAAACCTTTTCATGAATACTTTTGAGTATGTTGTCAGGAAGGTTCAGTCCTTGGAAAATGACATCATGTTGGAAAAGGTAAAGAATTGGAGAAAGAGAGGAGGACTTTCAGGAAGATGGATGGACACAGCTGTTTTAACAATAGGGATGAGCATGTCGGAGATTGTAAGGCTGACTCAGGATAGGATAAGGTTCAGACCTGTTGTTCATAGGGTGACTGAGTTGTAGTCAGCAGGATAGCTCCTAAGGACAGTGTGGAGGGCCATACAATGGGGTCTGCCTGTGCATCAGAGGGGTGGGCCCTGAGCGGATTCTTTCTCTGTGAATTGCACATAGGTTATCGCTCAAAGCCCAAGGCAGGGAGAGTCACACTGTGTCCACATCCTTTGGTGTAAAGTGGCAGCACTAAGTTGTACCTACAGATACATGTGCAATACTTATAAAACAATGAAAGAACTTTTCTTTTACTTTTCAAAATGTAGGCTGCATAGTGGACTTGAGTGGAGGGATTGTATTTAACAATGGAAGAATTTTTCTTCTACTTTTGAAAGAGAAGAGCAAACTGGGTGGCGGGGAGGTTGGGCAGGGAGAGAAGTACAACAGTGAATGAATGGAAATCCAAAGTCTGTACATTTTCATTAAAATTAATTTAAAAAAAGGAAAAATATGGTAGAAAAATAAACTCGATTCCAACTGAAGATAAAATCCAAGTTGGTTAGAAGTTCTTGCATCACCGTGTGGCGACTGAGGATAAAAGTTGCCGTGGAGGACTGCCTGTCCAGAGGCGCACACAACTCCTTGAATCTGATGCTCCAGACCTCACACCTACATCCCTGACTTCTGTCCTTCCTCCTTCATCCACTTATGAAACTTACATGTAATAAACAATAGGGAAAGTAGTCCAGCTTTCTGACCAGTGGCACCTAGAATGGCAATGGCAGTCAAGAATCCAGAAGGGCAACTCATCCCCGCTGTTGACTGGATTGGGTGTCCAGAACTCCAGTGGAAAGGTCTGGTACAGGTAGGACAGCGAACATGGCTGAGGACTGAAGTCAAACCAGACCTTCTCACTTCCCAAAGGTAGACTCTGACTCCAGCGTGCTTCTCTGACCTAGCGGAGGGGAGTGTGGAGGTTGACAACGCCTCAGAGTTCACGCCCATTTTTTCCCTTGCCATTTGCCTGGGCCTGGATCTTGCCGAGTAACAACCAAGTCAAAGGGCCAGGGAAACAAGGCCCACACATGTGCCATCCTCCCACTCAAAGAAGCTGTTGATGAGTGTGGGGAGTTGGAGGTAAGCCCAGGACAGATCACCATCCTGTTTGCAAGGGCATGATTTCCTACCGTGGGTCAGTGGGTCAAGGCGACACAAAGAGCTAAGTTTTAAGAGTTGCTCTCTCTCCACTACAGGTAACCTCTTCTCATAGCAATGTTGTGGGGCAGGAGCCAAATATATTGTGTAGCATACCTGCTGTGTGTAGGCCTAGTACATGGTGTGGTCCACAAGGACACGCTGTCTACGTTCTAATAAGTTATGGGCATCTGCCAGATAAGTGCTGGGTTGGATTAATCTTTATGGTAAGTTTGTTGAACTGAGTGAATCAATTGAAATTACTGAGACCTTAGAATGTGGAGCCCTGCCTTTTTGTTTTGTTTTGTTATAAAAGAAGGAACATTGGTGATGCAGTGGTTAAGTGCTTTTATATACACACGTCTTTCCATTTTCACTCTATATGTGCAGACATATAGTCAGTTAACTCTCTCTCTCTCTCAAGATAGAGATAGAGACACACACACACACACAGAGAGAGAGAGAGAGATGTATGTATAAAGTATAAAGATATATAAATATAAAAAATAATATAGAAATAAATATAAATCTGTAAAGAGAGAGAGAGATCTCAGGAGTGGTATCCACTTCTAAACAACATGCCTCCAGGAACTATAAACTTTGATAAATGTCGATAGTTGTAGAGGAGTTTCAGGCCTTTTTTTCATAGGGTCGTTATGAGTTGTGCTCAACTCGAAGGCAAACACACACATATATGGAGAGCACTAGGACTTAGTGATGGAGCTCTGGTGGCCTAGTGGCAAGAAGCTGCATTGCAAATCCCAAAAGCAAGCAGTTCGAGGCCTCAGCTGCTCCGTAGAAGGATGGGCAATCTCCTCCCATGGGATTTACTGCCTCTGAAAACCTGCCAGAGGGTGGGTCAGTTCTGACTCCACAGTACACAATATTAACAACAACAACAACAGGGCTTAGTGATAAGGAGTTTTGCTTCTAACCCAAAGACATGTGGTTCAAATCCACCAGCTGGTTCATGTGAGAAAGAGGGACAATCTCTTCCTATGCATTTTACTGCCTCTGAAAAATGACCTTCTTATCTGCCCTGTGTTTTCTTTTCAGGTAGGAGACGTGATCGTAGGTGGCAAAAAAACATCAAAGTCTGCGACAATGACCCCAGATGTCACCAAAGAGCAAACAAACAAAAGGTAACCCCCGAAATCTACCTTTAGCCCTGTTACACCCTGTTATACTGTCCTCACTGCCATTTTTTTGGCTAGAATGTGGCATCCAAAAGGATATTGCTCCCCAACCTGACACTATTATTCCTTAAGGCTCTCGGCCCCTGAAAATGGAATCCATGCACACACAGGGCCCACAGCTCGTGATGAGGACGGGACTGGGATGGTCGCACTGTGACTGCAGCATTTTCTGAGCTCTTCCTGTGCATTTGCATAGTTTTTCCATTTCAGCGGGTTTTACACTAAGTTTCCAAATGGGGAAACTGAGGCAGCAGGCCATTTAGAATTCCCCAAGGTCATGTAGCCTTGATGAATGCTCTGTCAAGCCCATGTCTTCACCTCCAGCCTGTTCCTATGATCTACACGCCACTTCACAGACCCTGAGAGTCTGGGGTTACAGGGCCCCCAGAGGCCCCACTCTGCGCCCTCCTGCTGTGCTCCTGGCCCTCCCTCACCTTCCAGCCTCTGCTGAAGCACCTTTCCCACCAGGACCGTCACCCTCACAGTAGAATGTCCATCTCGCCCTCAGTTCCTACCTAGCCCTTCACTTGCATCTGCCTGGGTTCTACTTGAGGACACTGGTTTCGCCCCCGGGAGATTCTCAGAGCAACCCCCATCTCCCTTACGCTGTAGATTCTTTAAACACTTTGGACAAAGTTCTCGCAGACCTCAGTCCTCCTCTAGAAGGGATGCCCCAGTTCTCCCAACTACCCTTCCTCTTGTCGTGGCTTCCAGACGCTTCTCTTCCAGATGGCAAGAGCTATTTTGAACGAAGGCAAGCTCTGTCTGTGGTGCAAACTTATGTGCCAGAATTAGTGTCATAAAAATACCTGCACAGGAGCTATATTTGTATTGTGCATAATACAAGCATGCAGGCGTCAGTGTCTTCAAAGACAACGTTTTTTCAGAAGTTTTGTAGAGAACTCCAAGCATGGGGTCTGTCTGAATAATAGGTTCAGAAGAAAAACCATCCGCACACATCTAAAATGAAAGTCACTGGCCTGAAAATAGGACCCTCAATTTACAAAGTCATAAGCAGCAACTCACTCCCCACTGGTCCCCACTTCTGTGTTAGGTCCCTAACAGCAGACTTTCCCATGGCAATGCGCCTTTTAATTTCCTGGCTACTGGTGCCAAGAGTGTTGACTGTGGAGCCAAGCAAACTAAAGCTGTGTACAATCTCAATCTCTTCACCATCCATCCTGATGTTGCCAATTGGTCCAGTGGTGAGAATCTTTGTCTTCTTGACATTGAGCCTTAATCCATATTGGAGGCTGCAGTCCTTGACCCTCTGCAGCAGGTACTTCAGGTCCTCTTCAGTTTCAGCAAGCAGGGTTGTGTCATCTGCATAACGCAGATTGTTGATATATCATCCACCAATCTTGACCCCACATTTCTCCTCATAGAGCCCAGCCTCCCGGATAATCTGTTCTGCATATAGGTTGAAAAGGTATGGAGATAGGATGCATCCCTGGCGTACGCCCTTCCCAATTTTGAACCATGCAGTGTTTCCTTGCTCTGTTCTGACGATTGCCTCCTGGTCCAAGTATAGGTTTCGTGTATACTTTGTATTTTTCCTTCGCGAACTTTGCATCCAGCAAAATGCTAAAAGAAGCTGAAAAATGCAAAGGCCTTCAAAACTTGAGTAGGTTACAGAAGTAGGGAGTCAACAAGGACAATGGACATTTATACTTTAGGAGAAAAGACCTTCCTTTCCCCAGTAAAGGATGTTGATTGATGTCTGGAACATCAGAATGGAGGAGAATGATGATGATATTCTTGAGCACAGAGACCATCTACAGAGACCATCTACTTACATGTCGGGCTGTTAACCAAAAAGTTGATGGTTCAAATTCACTACCTGCTTTGCTGGAGAAAGATGAGCTGTCATGGAGTTTACTGCCTTGGACACTCAGAGGAGGGTCACCATAACTCAGAAAGAACTCGACAGTGGTGGGTTTGGGTAGGGGTCCCTCTAATACTGCAGGAAGAGTCCTGTAGGTAACCTCTCCCCCGAGGACTAGCACAGCCTGCTGAAACTTGTTAACACTTCATTTTTTTTAGAGATACTGGAATCTTACTGTACAAAGATTGAAACTGAGTAAAGCCAGGGCTACTCTCATATTTTTATTTCTGTGCTCTTGTAGAACGTTTGACAATAATTGCTGAATATTAAGTGAAAGCAATGAATCTGTTTGAAGCTTGATCTTAAATGATGTAATACTAATTGCACTGTTCCTCGTCATTGTTTATAGAAGAACACAAGTGGAGAAGCTAGAAGTAGATCCCAGCAAGTACTCGTTTCCTGATGTGGCTAACATTGTCCAAGAGAGAAAACACGCGCCCAGAAGGGTTGGAGCAGAACCAAAGAGTACGCCAGGCGATGATGATTCAGACTTTGAAGACAACTGTGATGTTCCTCCATTGATCTGAAATAGCAAGTGTCACTATCAGGCATGGGGACTCATCAGACCCAAGTCTCCCTTGTACAGAGGGCATGCGTACGGGAGAAGCCCACAGTTACTTATTATTACTGCTAAAGCATTTTATCAGTCTTACTTTGTATAGTAGCTTCCACTAGTGTAAAATGAAAATAGGTACTTATAATATATGATAATTGATAATCTGTCTGTAATAAAGTATTGGCTCATGAGAATGTTCAATAAATTAATAATATCACACAATGCATGGTAAGTTAAACATCCTCTGCCTGGACAAATAGATTGCATGGCAGAGAAAAAGCACTAATTTTTAAATTGATAACCTAGTAAATTGGTAAAGCTCAGAAGTGAAAAGTAATTTTAGTTCAGCTTTGTTGTTGTTGTGCTTAAATGCCATCATGTCAAATATGACTCATAGTGACTCTCTGAAAAATAGATATGAACCCTGTCAAATCCTGTGCATTCCTCATTATGTCTGATATGCGTGAGCTCATTGCAGCAGTCACTGTGTCAAACCGTTTCACTGAGGGTCTTTCTTTTGCTGACTGTCCATTTTCCCAAGCATGATGTCCCTTTCCAAGGAATAGCTTGCCCTAACCACATGCCCTCATGCAAAAGCTATACTTGGACCAAGAAGCTGTTGTCTGAATAGAGTAAGGAAACACTGTGTGCTTTAAAATAAAGGAAGGTGTGCATCAGGGCTGTATCCTTCCTTTGTACCTATTCAATCTGTATGCTGAGTAAATCATTTGAGAAGTTAGTCTCTGGGAAGAAGAACCAGGTATCAGAATCCAAGGAAGACCCAAAAACCTGCCTAATGCAGATGACACAGCTTTGCTGCAAGTAAGGACTTGAAGCAGCCTTCCCTGTGGATTATACCTCAACATCAATAAAACAAAAGTTCTTACCCTTATCAACATCCTGATAGATGGAGAAAAGATCACCAACATCCTGATAGATGGAGAGCTCTGGTGGCCTAGTGGCAGGAAGCTGTGCTGCGATCTCAGAGGCATCAAGTTTGAGGACACCAGCTGCTCCACGGGAGAAGGCTGGGCAATCCCCTCAATGTAATTAATTAACGGTCTCTGAAAACCCACCAGAGGGTCGGCGCCAACTCTGTTGTATTCAATACCAACAACAGATGGAGAAGATTAAAATTGTCAACAATTTAATCTTACTTGTACCTACAATCAACACCGTTAGTACCATCAGTCAGGAGATCAGGAAACTATTGTATTGCAAAAGTCTGCAGTCAGGGACCTTCCAAAGTATCATGGAGCAATATCTATTCGAGGACTAAGGTGTGCCTGATTCAGACCATCGTCATTTCAGTTACTTGTTATGCATCTGAGAGCTGGACAAAGAATAAAGATGAAAGAGGAAGAATTGATGCCTTTGAGTTTTGGTGTTGGAGAAGAGTATTGTCTTTAAATTATTGTACTTAAATTACAATACTTAAAGTACTGTCTTTACATCTAGTCTTTAAATTGATATCATTGTTACTCCGTACTTTGGGGAGGTACCTGATCTCAGGCTTTCACATTGCAGTACATATTTTCAGTTCTTGATTGCTAGTACCAAGGGTATTGATTGTGGATTGAAGTAAAATGAAATCATTGTGATCATTTCCATCTTTTCCTCTATTTATCATGCTGTTGTCTATCAGGCCGGTGGTGAGGAGTTTTTGTCTTCTTGATATTGAAATGTTACCCATATTAAAAGTTTTGACCTTCCACAGTATGTGTTTCAAATCTTCCTCACTTGGAAGAATTATGATTTTTAGCAGTATTTCCATATTACCCTTGGCATTTGCGGTCTTTGGTGGCAGAGTATAATGGCAATAATGTCAGTTTTTAAGCTGAACACCTGAAATGGGATTCAACTTTGTGAAGACCTTTTAGCAAGTCCTTTCACTTCTCTGAGCCATGGTGGATTTACCTGTATCTCATATTTGTCCTATAGAATTGTCTCAAGATGAACTACGTCAAGTGTCTGGAGCCACCTCTGCTCTGGGCTTGCTGCTTCCTCCTCCCTCTCTCCCTCCCTCTCTCCCTCCCACCTTTTCTTTCTTTCCTAATTTCTCCAAAGGCTTTTCTCTCCTTTGCCTCTTGCTTTACTTCATGTTCTTCTTCCCCAACCTACTCTTTGTACTCTACCTCATTTTTCCTGCTTTTTGGTATTTGTGTTTCTAAGTGATGTAGTGCTACTATAACAGAAATACCAGAGTGGGCAGTTTTATCAAGAAGAAATTCATTTGCTCAGAGTTTAGGGGCCAAGAAGACTGCACCCAAGACACCAATTCTTGGGGAAGGCTTTGCATTACTGTCAACTCTTTTCAAGTTTGATTGCTAGATTCCTTTGTACTCTTTACACAACTTGCTATCTGCCTTCCCCCATCTGTGCTTCTGCGCTTCTGTTCCTAATCTTCCCTTTTTATAGCTCAAAAGTGATTGAATTTAAGACAGACCCTACACTGAGATTGTCCCAGTAACATAAGAAAAATCCTATTCCCAAAAGAGATTGCATCCATATTTATAGTATTTAGAGTGTACAGCACACTTGTTTGATTATCAGCACACACATTTTTTGTTATCTGTGTAACACTCCCCTCGTTCCTTACAGCAGTTCACATTTGTGCCTGTACTTGGACAATTCCCAAGTACATGATTCATAGTATTAGAGAAATGCTGTCATTGTGATGATGATGACGATGATGTTATTGTTAGGTGCCTTAGACTTGGCTCCAGCTCACAGGGACCCTACTAAGTACAGCGGAACCGGACCTTGCTCAATTCTGTGCCATCCTCACAATTTTACTTTGTTTATTGGTGCAGTTAATGAGCCATTCACCTCATTGAATATCTTCCTCTTTTTCACGGACCCTCTATTTTCAGCACCTGGATCCTCCTGACAACATGCTCACACGTATGAGAGGAAGTCTCACCATCAGTACTTCTAAGGCTGCACTTATTTTAAAACACATTTGTTCATTCTTTAGGCAGCCCGTGGTATATTCCATATTCTTTACCAAAGACACAGTCCAAACTCACCTATTCTGTCTCCCTTAGTCACTGTCCAACTCTCACACACATATGAAGCAGCTGAAAGGACCATACTGTAAAAGGAGCAAGGGCAGCATGAGGACAACTGAGCCTTCCCCTACTAGCTCCGCAAAGGGGACTTTCCCCTTCAGTAACAGCCACAGTACAAAACCAGTCCATGATCTCCCATACCTGTGAACCTACTTCTACTAATTCTGACACCAAAATCCTGACACCAATCTTTTTTTTTTTTAATTTCCTACAGAAATGGCATCCACTTCCGTAAATAGCTTGCCTCCAGAAACCCTATGAACCTGGAGAAAGGATAAAAGTCACACACACAGGTGTCTAGGACTTTTGTTCATAGGGTCATGATGAGTCACCTGCGACTCGACGGCACTCAACAGCAACAACAGCAAACTAGTTTCTTTACAAAATTCTAATACACTGTTTTCAAGAACAAATTCTTTCAATTTCCCTCATCGCCCCCACCCATCAAATTGTAAAACCCCATGATTAATCCCCGTCCCCCTCTGCACATCCTCATCCCTCAGCTTCTACCCTCTCCCACCCCTCTTGGATCCTCATACTCATTCTACAATAATGTTTGTATACAATGGTTGTATAACATTTTTAGGACTGAGTTAGTTCACTCAGAATAATGCTCTCCAGTCCCTCCCAAGTTGGCCAATAATTTACAAAGTCATTGCTACTGTGAGCTACATGGTATTCCATTGTCTGAATGGACCATAATTTCTCAATCCATTCGTTTGTGATTGGACATTTGGGCTGTTTCCCTGTTCTTGCGATGGTGAATAATGCTGCTATGAACGTTGGTGTGTAAATCTCCATTTGTGCCTCAGTTCTCATTTTCTAATGTTGGAGAGGATGTGATAAGAAAGGAACTCTTATACATTGTTGGTAGGATTGTAAAATGGTACAACCATTCTGGAAGGCAGTTTGGCGCTTCCTCAGACAACTAAACATAGAAATTCCATATGACTCAGCTATTTCACTACTTGGAATATACCCTGAGAAAATGAGAACTGAGGCTCCAACACCAATCTTAACTTCTTTACTGGGTCTGGCATCTGTTGCAATAGCCACACACACTACACAGAACCGTATTCATAATTGTGAGATTTCTCAGGGAAGTTAATAGGCTGTAGTTGAGGTTAGCAGCAAGATACAACCCCACAGTCCTGACAGCTCCTCAAGGGTGGCCACCAGCCCTTTGGCCTTCAGCCTCACACCTTAGGACAGTGTTACAAAGTCCCCTTAATCTTACCAGTTATGGTGTCTTCCCTCAGTCCTCCAGCAAGCTCAGGGTAAAGAAGTATGTTGTTGGTTCCATGAAGCAGCAGTCCCAGGTCAGCCCTTAATGTGACAGCATCTTTCCTCAGTCCTCTTGCAAACTTGGGTTGAAGACGGCAGTTCAAGTCAGCTCTTCCTTCAGTCATCCAGCAACCATAACCTTTAACTCTGTCTCTGTCTCAAGGGCTCTGGCTTGTCTCCATTTCAAGGTCTCCGGCCCTGGCTCTGTCTCATTCCATCAACAGCAAGATACTGTCTCTCATTTAATCCAGACAGCTTCTCAGTCAAATAGCAAGATACCTCTGGTGCATGAACCTGTGGCTTCAAAGGATGGGTGCTGCTTCTTTCCTGGTCTCAAGGTTCCCAAAATCTGCCACTCAATCTGCTCAATTTAGTATTATATCCCCTTGTAGATAGGCGGTCCTGCCCTATAAGGAAGAAATGGCCCACACAACTGTTGATAATGTAGGTGGGCCACCTCTCCCAGGACAGCTGAATTAGATTAATGTGTTTGCAGATAACTTGGCTGCATCATGATAGATTGAAGAGGAGATTAAGGTCATTAACAATTTCAGCTTGCTTGGCTCTACAATCAACACACTTGACACCAACAGTGAGGGAAATCAAAAGACAAATT